TTCCTGGGAATGGTATTTTGGGCTTGAAGGGTGGTGGAACGAAAGCTTTCTTCTTACTCTTATCAACAACTGGTTCTTTGATCTGGGGGCTCTGGACTTGATCACGAGGTACAGCATCTTGGTCGAGCTTAGTGATGTCATCGACTTGAGTTTCATGCTGAATGAAATCCTCCCCCTCTTGAATCTCACTGTCCTCAGTGACAGGTGCGGGGCTAGGTCGAGTTTGCAGCTCTCGACCACTGCGAAGGTGAATAGCATTAACATGACCTTTTTGATGCTGAATAGATTTCCCTGGCAGTTGCCCTGGATTCTGAGGCGCAGAAGTAGAGGCAAATTGGCTCTCCATGTACTTAATCCTGGAGTTCAAAGCTTCAAACTTGATATTGAGATCATTGAAGGTGCAGTCTACTTTGTTGTGAATCTCAGCCAATTTCTTATCAAGAGCTATAGCACCAGCTGCTTGACCTTGTAGAAGCTGCTGAAGCATTTGCTTCATGTCTTGGTCTTGTGCAGGTGGAGCTTGCTGGGTTTGCTGTGCAAAACCGGGTGGTGGATTCTGTTGGTGAAAACCTCCACTGAACTGTTGCTTTGGTGCAAACCCTTGATTGTATGGTATGAATGGCTTGGACTGGTTCTGTTGTTGCTGAAGGTAAACCTGATCCTGAGGGTTTGCAACATTCGTGCTCCGGTAAGATAGATTAGGATGAGCATGCTGGTAGGGGTTGTAGCCCTTTTTTTAACCAGCTTGGTTCTGTATGTAGCTGACTTCTGCAGCGTGAGTAGTCTCCCCTTCTTGGAGTTGATAGTGCTCTTCTTCAGTGATATAGTGGACTTGCTTCTGTTGAGTCAGCAGAATCTTATCCAACTTATCGTTGAGAGCCTTGATATCTTTACTATGCTTCGCATCCGACTCTCCAATACCTCTGTTGGAGCGATCAAAATCTTCATTATAATGACTGTCGGACTGAGCTAAGTTCTCAACCAATTCCCAACCTTCTTCAACATCTTTATTCAAGAAATTCCCATTTGAAGCAGTGTCCAGGACCATTCTGAACTTGGGCAGAGCTCCTCTGTAGAGTGTACTGAGCAAAGAAGCTTTCTTGAAACCGTGATGTGGACATTGTGTAGTGTAGCCTTTGAATCTCTCCCAGGCCTCACAAAAGGATTCAGACTGTTTCTGGGTGAAACTGGAGATTTCATTCCTTAGCCTTGCAGTTCTTGAATTTGAGAAGAACTTTGTCAAGAAGGCCGTCTTACAATCGTCCCAAGATGTTATGGAGTCAGGAGGTAGTGTCTTCTCCCATTGGTGTCCTTTGTCTCCCAGCGAGAAGGGAAACAGACGCAGCTTGAAACCGTCTTCACTAACACCATTTATCTTGGTGAGGCTGCAGAGCCTGTCAAAGTTATCCAAGTGGTCTAAGGGATCCTCCATAGGCAACCCATGAAACTTGTTTCCTTGTATCATTGAGATCAATCCACTCTTGATCTCGAAATTGTTGTTCTGGACAGGAGGAGGAACTATGCCCTGTCTCTGTTGATGGTTTCTTGGTGCATCCCCAGCACCAATGTTCCTTGGTATCCCAACTCCTTGATTGTCTTGTTCTTGTGGTTCCATGGCTACTGGATTGTGCAGTTCACAACCGTCTCTGGCTCTACGTTCTTTCAACTCACGGGCTAACTGGTTGATGTTGTCTTTGTAGCTGATGAGGTTGCTGGAGCCTTTAGAACGAGTTTGCATACAAAGTGGTTAGTCTCGACGTGGCAGGCTCGACGTGAGGTCGAGTTGGTACCTGGAGCACAAAAACAAGCAGCTGAAGAGAGTAGTTAGTAACCAAAGTAAAGAAAGAACTTGATCTTAGCAATTCTAAAATCTTGAATGTAACAAGCAGACACCCAAATGGCAACGGCGCCAAATTGATACTAGGATTTTTGCTATCAATTACCCTAATATACTTTCATGTCATTGCAGTATAAGAGGTTATCAATCCAATCAGGCGCTCTTACTATCAATCAAGATATGCTCAGAGAATACTAAGTCAAGCCAAGCAGAATAGAGGTTTGTTATTTAGCAATCCTAAGCGAACAAGCATAAAGAGAAATAACTACAGAACATGAGTGATCATGCATAAGAGAAAGAACTATCAATACTAAGGAGCAATAAACAAGCAAGCAATAGGTACAGAGAATAGGTAAAACAATAGAGATAAAAAGGTCCTGAGGAATGGGGTAATCGATTATGGCAGTCTCCTTAATCTACCTAGGTGGTTAACAAACTCAATCAAGCTATCCCTAGACAATAGATTCAAATACAAATCAATCCACTCTCGTGACAGAGATTCTCAAGTTAAATCACTTTCATACTCAATTCACATTGAAGAAATATAACCTAGCAGGCATTATGATTCAATCTAATAAAGTCAATAAGCATTCTAAACATCCAATCTCTTGGGCTAGAGTATGCAAATCTCTAAAAAATTTTGTTCAGACATTTCATCAAACACCTTGTGGGTGTGGAAATGTCTGAGATCAATTTCCAATTGATCAGAGAAGAAATAGCATTAAGATCTACTAAACCAGAAGGGAAATCAAGCAATTCTACACTTAACCACCTAAATATACTAAGGATTCCACACCTAATCTAACCCATCCTCAAGAACCCTAATCCACTACTCAAGAACACTGAAGAACATCATGCATAAAAACCCAGAAAATTGCATAAACCCATAAATCATTAAAAAACAAGTACGTTATAGATAAGAGAGAGATCTACAACTTTGATGAAGAAAAGAAATGCAAAAACTCAAAGATTCAGCAGGAAAAACGATTACAAAAACTAGGGTTTATGAGAGAACAGCGGAATATCTACTGGGTAAAAGGAATATCCGCTGGATAAAAGGGTGTACCCCTATTTATAGGAATACTAGGTTGCCCTAATTTGGCTACAAGACAAAATAAGAAGTCGGTGGGTGGTCCAACTCGACGTGTCATCGAGTCCGTGTGGTCGAGTTCGTGTCCAGACAGCTTCCTGACGTCCTACTCGACGTGTCGTCGAGTCCATGTGGTCGAGGGGGAGTGATTCTTCAAAGGGTGCTCCTTGATGTCCTCCTACTCGACCTCACGTCGAGTTGGTGTGGTCGAGTCCAACCCTTGGTGGTTTCTGAGCGCCTGCTCGACCTCCTGCCGAGTCCAACCAGTTTTCTGCATATGTCTCCATTAAAACCACCATAATTATTGCATCAAAGCTCTGATTCGCTTGACATCACCTCCGTTGGAAAGGTAACTCAATTTCCTATAACTTGTATGAAGAGCTCTGAAGCTAAATCGCAATGAAAGACTTCCATCTGAGTCGATCTTTGAGGGACTTCAGACTGGCTCTGAATCATCAATTCTCTTCTTAGCATCCATTAAGTCCCAAATAAGCTCCAAATACCTGAAACACATCCAATATGCAATATGCTATGCCATGCAATGCAAATCGTACTAAGTGATGAAAATGATATGAAAAGGACTATGGATGCAATGAAAGAGAGATGGAACTTAGCTAAATGCACGAGAAAAGTGTGCTTAAAAGCGGTAAAATACAGAGACATCAGCTAGCTTGGATAGCTTGAAATTTGACTAAAGGATCAAATGTCGCACTTCGGAAGTTAAAGGAGAAATCCAAACCAGGCATGTGTGCCGAGCCGTGTTGTATCGTGTTGAGCCGGACCGGGTTTGAGATTTTGAGATTTGGGAAATGGGCTTATAACCCAAATGATAATTGTTAATTACCCAATGTGTAAGTTGATTAAGTCAACAATTATCTCCTTTAATGTGAATTATAAATTGTGTAACAACAAAAATTAATTCACAACAATTAAAGGTGATGGAGTCAATGGCATTGATGTTGAGAATTCATTCTCATAACAATAACATTCTCACCTTTATTGCTCCATTATAGTGTTGAGAGCTTGGACTATAAAACCAAGGCTTCATCTCTCCATTTTTATCTCATGGACATATGGATCAAAAAGATCACAATCTCCTTCTTCTTCTCTTCTCTAGTTATCGAGTCTGAGAGTACACACATTACTAGAGTTCGTTAGGCTTCTGATTTTGAGTGTTGCAAATCAGAAGATGGTGCGGTTGTATCCTGGGATTCTGATTGCGTCAAGCCGTCACACTACGGGCAATTAAAGAATTAAGGAAAGAATGTCTCGCCTCCGCACAAACCGTTCTTTGTTTAACAAATATTGGTTTCGGTTGTTGTAATTTATTTCTGGTTTTATCATTATCTATTGCAATTATTCAGTTTTGCCATGTCGTAGAAATCGTGGTCTTACAGTAATTAAGTTATTAGTTTTCAGTTTGCGAATTTTATCGGGGATTGAACATATTTTGAGTCCTAATCTAGAGTACAGTATTGCAAACCCTCTTTCTATATTATGCTTATGTATTTTCAGCAGAAGTGGACTATCTATTAACGTTCTGTAATATATCGGCAGAAACTTTATTGAGGAAATACCATAAGAGGATAAGACATGTGAGAATATGGTCTTAGGATCATTGTAAACATTACATAATTGTGTGACTTTGGGGTGTGGTTTGGAGTGAGGAGTGTTGGGTGTCTACTTTCCATGTTTTGTGAGTTTGTTTGTGTGTCTCTAATTGACTTTCCGCACATTCTAAATCCCTTTCTGTCTGCTTGTGCCCCCTATATATGAGGGTAAGCGTCCTTCCATGGAAGTGTAGTCTTTTGTTTTGGATTGATTAGAGCTAATTGTTTCCTCTAATAAACAAACTAGGAGATTTGCTGGTCTCTCTAAGTGTTCCTAATAGTGAAATATTTTCCGATAGAATATTCCAAGCTTGGGTTCTATTACATCTCTTGTCTACTTGAACTCCAAAACCTTATAATTATGATTGAAGAAGGTAACATTTTCGTAAGAGCTTCTGACTTTGATTATCTATGCTATCTAATCTATGTTTCTCTTTTTTTGCTTACTGTAGCCAGCAAAATGGTCCTGAAAAGCAGTGAGCAGGCGCCAAGGTAAAACAATTGTTGCGTTTTTTAAATCAAATGGCTTAACTTTACATGAGCCTGCACATCTATATTCTACATGTGTTCTATATAGCATGAAATTTTTTGTCAGTTCATCAAGTTATATCAATAAACAGCTTTGCTTCCACCGCTTAGCCTAATAACTAATATTTTAGCTTATCCTTACCTGACTGTTTCACAGAACTCCAATATTCACTGAGGAGATTCTAGGCGGTGAGAATGTAGAGGGAGAAGTTGAACCGCCACCAGAGAGATCATTTTGGGCAAAATATGTGAGTAATACAATAAAGATCTTTTGATGATTTTTATTTTGTTTTAGGTCTTGATGTAAATTTCATATGATACGCAGTGGATGTATTTGATACCGCTGGGACTCGTAGTGATGAACGCTGTGACACAAGCATCAAACATGGCTGAAGAACCAACGGGTGGACAAGCAGGAGGAGCACAAGTGCAACAAGCTGCCATGAGAAGATGATTCCACTTAAACTTCTCCCAAAGCAATCAAAGGTAGACCACGGCGCAATTACTAAACAAATTTCTTTTTTTACATAGCAGTCTTTAAATCTTATGATCCCAGGAGGATACATTTATATATTTGTTGGGCTATCTTCCCAGCTGTGGATTTATATTATTTGGTTGTAACTTATAAGTCACACGGAATTAACTGAATTCGGAATTTATGTGGCTTCGTTATCTTCGGGGAAATTAAGATAGTTATAATCAAATATTTTGCTATAAATAGAACCAAAGGCATACACTTCTACATCAATTCAAATATCAAAAACTAAATAATGAGTAAAAAGTGTTTTCAGCCAGTTCTAACTAATTTCTTCCCGACGACATGCTAGTTGTCATACTTGGTAAGGTTGGAGAATCTTCTGCTCTTGACTTCGTATCTTCCCTTACTTCATGCAAAGCATTATTTCATATCTCCAAATTTCCAGACGTGTGGAAGAATCTTAATCTCACTGAAGTATTTCCACCACCATGAAATGAGATTCCTAAAAATTTCAAATTTTTAGTTGAATGTGCAAAAAATGGGAATGTTCACGCTATCTTCTTGTCTGGTCTTATAGATTACTATTTCAAAAAAGAAATTGCTACAGGTATTGCTAAGATCTCTTACGCAGCTAGAGATACTCATTCCGAAGCAATGTATGTTTACAAGATGATTCTAATCGGTGAAGGGAAAATAGATGAAGGATCCAACTATATCACCCAACTTTGGAAAAATCAAGGATTTCAAGCTGTTAGACAATGCCAAAAAAACTGTGGTGAGGTAATTCTGAAGTTAAACGTGAGGCAATACCAAGAGTACGATATGCTCCTCACTCAAATTAAAGTTGATGACGAGTGCGTTGTTGGAGATTTTGATCACGTATGTGATGGTTGTTTCATCTACAAAGAAATTTTCCGTTTCTTAGACTATATGCACTATTGTTTAAGTGAAGTTTGTTTAATTTTGTGTTAGCCACATATTTCCTTTAGAAACACATTATGTAGACACAGCTTATTCACATTTGAAATTTTTAGTGAGACTTACTAATTTTTAAATTCATGCCTTTTGTTAATTTTAAAACAGTTTCTGTTTTAGTCTAGGAAACAAATTCACAACAGAATCATCAACAATGATTCAAGTTATTTACCTTGCCATTGAAGGAAGAATCAAATAGAATATTTGACTACTTAATATCTCTATGGATAACCGGAGGACGACAACGCTCGTGGAGATACTCTACAGCTCTGTATCCAAACCAACAAAAGAAAGCAGTTTACATAAACCAAATTAATTAACCAGTAGAGAAGATTGTTAAACCGGTGACAGATCCAAGGTACATTCCGCTGTAAACAAGCGTGAGTGATCTGCTTCTCTCTTGCACATGCACCCTCTTCGACAATATATTGTTCATAGAAGGCATTGCAACACCCTGGAGAACACCAATGATATTAACTTCTCCTTATCGACATACACAAATCTGAGATTGATATCTAACATCATAAAAAGTAATCACAATTAACAAACCTCTCCAACTCCCATGAAAGCACGAACAACGAGCAAGTATGGAAGGCCGAGTTTAGCATCTACATGAGTGAGAATTGTGGCGATTGACCACCAGATAACGCCGAAGCCAAGAACCCTTTTGCCCCCTACAGTGTTTGCCCATATTCCACTAGCTATCTACAATATCAACAAACCATTATGTACTCAGCCGGCACGATTGGCCAGGAGCAGAGGCATAAGCAGCGGAGGTTTCACAATTGGAAGAGAGTGTACGGCGAGGCAACCACGATTCCACGGTGGAAAGATCGGTCACCGGCGGTAGAGTTATTTTCCGAGGTTTACCTACTACGTTTTTAAAATCCAAGGGTTTTAGATATTTTTGTCTTGTAAGTTGGTTATTAAGTGGGCTATTACTTTGGTTGGGCCTAAACAAATATTTCTTTTGAAATTTGATCAGAAAGAGTACGTGGAAAAATAAAATGATATTACTGGAAGACAAAACTGAGCTGTATTATTTGAAATGTTCTGATTGAGTTCCGATTTTACTGAGGTGTCACTTCCAGAACACTCCAAAAAGCTGAGGTGTCAGCACTGGAGAGACTTTTGTTTTTTTTATTGTATTGATTTGTCTGTTCACTAGATCATTACTCGTACTATAGCACGGGTTGAGTTTCATTTAGTACAAAATTTATATATTATTTATTTTAGAATAAAATTTTGATATATTATCGTAATAAGGACTAAAGTGCAAAAGCAGAAAATTAGGGATAATATATCAAAATTTTAGTAGGAATAATCGATCAAAATTATCTTATTATATAAAGTATGGAAAACAACGTTAGTATCTCATAGGATCGTGCCATGTGTCCAATTTTGAGGCATGTAAAATTTTTCTTTTATTAAATTTAAAAATATAAAAAGATATTTTTAAACTATAATTTAGACAATTTAGAGAATATAAGAAGATAATTACATGGAAACTATACATATCTTACATAAAAAAATTTATTAAAAATGTAAAAAAAAAGATAATTATAAGGAAATTATTTGTATCTTATTATATAAAAATAGAAATTAAAAAATTATTTACTAATTCTAATTTAAAGTTACAAATTCTGAAAGAAAAATATTACTTTTCTTTAAAATTTTAAAAAAGATTTAAGAAATTATAAAATTAATTAATAAAATACGTTAATTAAGAAAATTATAAAATTAATTATTAATCCTAGAAGAAAAATAATTCTATATACTCACCTCTATATAAAAAATAGATAGTCTCATATTTTCTCACAAAACACAAAAAAAAACTTCAAAAACACCACTATTGCTTCAACTTCGTTCTATTTGTAAAGCTTTTTTTTTAGGTAAAAAAGTAGTAAAAAAGATCATATGTTTTCCGACCATACGCTATATAATATAACTTATATTGATGATAACTATTTGTCACAATTATATTAAGAGGCCAATTGGATTCTTAGGAACGTGAGCTTTCTAACAAGTTATAGATGGAGTTCTAATTCTTCCTAAAAAGAAATCCACCATTAAAGAGTTTGAAACTCACTTCCATGGAGAAAAATTGAAGAAGGAAGAAGATGAGACTTACCAAATTCTTCTACCATAGCTGAAAACAACCCAGAACTAAAGCACTCATACGGAGAAGCACGATCAACCTAAGCCACAACAAAATTTGATCACAAGATGCCCACAATTTTCAAATCGGAGTTGATGAGGAAGGGTATGGAAACTCACCAAAAATCTCCAATTGACAAGAGAATAGGCATCTAAATCTCTGGGGCTTCAAGACGCATATATATACTTAACATCAGGGTTGAAAGATCAAGATTTGAGTTGCCAAAAACTCTCCCTTCGTTTTCGGAAAGCATAAACCCGAGTGTATCCCTAATTTTCTTCTTTTGCACTTTAGTCCTCAAACTTTTGCCTATTCATAGATTTTGGTTCAAACTTTTGAATCGATCAGAAATCTTCCTGCAATCTGTCTAAATTGAACAATTTAACCCAAAATCTGATTCTTCATTTTCTTCAAATTTGGGGTGTTACAAGTGATTAGGAGCATACTTCAACGATAAAAAAAAATTGGATGTAAATACACTTTTTATTTTGTTTAAATGTGTAATTAATTAAACGGATACTGAAAGGTATATGTACAAAACTCATATAGTATCAACTACGAGAATGCAAAAACATAGGTCTTTATAAAACAGAGAGACCAATTGAACCATGCATAAATCGAGAAAACAGAGCTATAGACGATTGGCTACGTTTCTTGCAAGAGAGATTATGGGCGAACCATGAACCAGCGTTGCATTAGCTGGCAGAGTCGTGGGTTTGCTGAAATCAAGCGGGGAGATTCGGTTGCGAATAAGCTTCTCCATGTTTCGAACTATTTGTTGGGTTGTCAAGTAGCCGGTACCATGAATCCAAGCGTTCCGTTCTCGCCAAATGGAGTAAATTGTCACTTAGAAGCAAAGCCGGAGTAAGATGTCTCTGTTGGTAAGTCCTATGATCGCAGCTACCGTCTCCTCTCAACCCAGAAATACAGTTTTTTAGTGGTGAAGTAAATTGTAAATTGGTTAATATATGTAAATAAGATGACGATTTAAAAATTTTGCATCTAAAAAGTTTTTAAAGAAAATTGTTAAATTATTTTTGGCGAGAATGCAAAATCACGTTTGGGCAATAATGGCAAATATTTAGCAAAACTTTGGTAATTAATAATTTAACTTTACTAGGTTATTATAATAAATGTTACAATAAATTTAAAGTATAGAAATGTAAATTACTGTATTAAGACAACATAACGAATATATAAATAAATTTTTCTCTAACTAAAACAGTTCTATATTTTTTAATTTTTGAGGTAATTTTTATTTATAACTAAATTTTAATTTAAATTTTTGCTAAATTTGTTTTTAACTAAAAACAATTAAATCCGTCCATCCGACGGTCCTAGTTAATTTAGAAAATGTTTTAGGATTGTAATTTTATAAAATGGCATGCGGGCCTAAACGGGCCTTTAGCAATTTTAAAAATAGCCCATAGCATTTAAACTAAGATATAATTACCGGACTGGGCCTTTTTCCAGACAAAATTACGGAATCCGGTACGATTGCCCGGACTTTCGTTTTAGGCATTTTCACCTGCGAGGAAATGTCCACCTTGCCCTCACGCTTAAGCTCCCCGTGTACGCTTTGAATTTTGATTTTCCGTCGCTTCGAGACCATGATGACGTTTCTCATAAGACGAGCTAAATCAAAGCAGCTGTTACACGCTTTGTCACTGTGCTTTCTCTCTGCTCAAAAAAACAATTTCTTTACTCCTCTTGAAATCGAGAGCCGAACCTCATCAAATCTGCATTAATCGCACTTCAAGTACCTCAACTCTCCGATTATCACCCTTCTAGGAGCTCAACTCTCCGATTATCACCCTTCCAGCAGCTCAACTCTCCGATTATCACCCTTCCAGTAGCTCCTGCGAAGCTCCGCCCTTAACTCCCGCTGACACAGGACTGACTAATAGTGTACGCATCGCCGACCATCTTCTTCTTTTCTGGGTTTCTCTGCAGATATTTTACAGTTTTGCGACCTCCCTTTTCTTTAGTTTCGGATCTTTGAATCCAATTGAAATTCCATTTTTTCTTTCCGATATGTACTTCCAATGTTATGCATTTTTATTAACAGTTTTTTTTCCCCTTTCTCATCCCCGCTGATTTGTCTTGCGCTTTCTTTCCTCGTGGATATCGCCTTCGTTTCCTTCATACTTGTATTTGATTCCTAGCAGGTTCAGCTCATAACAATGCTTTCCAATGGGAGTCTAGCTGATCATTTCCTTTCCAAAGGTATATGTTAACCCCACGAGCCATACTTATCTGTTTCTATCACATAAAACGCCCTAACCTGATAGTATTCATTATGGTGTTTAGTGTTTTACCCTTTCCCGTTTGGGTTTCGGCTGTATATGTTGTTCTCTTAGGGTTTAGTTTTTATATTAAAGAACTCTATATCCCATGGTATTGTGTGTTATACTTGTCATTATACTGAGCTGTTACCTTTTTCTATCACATAAACTTCGCTAAGCTTGTTGTGCTTATAATGACGTATACTGTTGTGGGATTTCCCGTTGTGTTTAGTGTTTCTATGTTGTTCCCATAAGGTTTAGTTTTGAATATTAAAGAACTCTATATGCTTAGTGTTTTACCCTTTCCCGTTTGGGTTTAGGCTGTCTATGTTGTTCCCGTAGGGCTTAGTTTTGAATATTAAAGAACTCTATATGCTTAGTGTTTTACCCTTTCCCGTTTGGGTTTAGGCTGTCTATGTTGTTCCCGTAGGGTTTAGTTTTGAATATTAAACAACTCTATATGCTTAGTGTTTTACCATTTCCCATTTGGGTTTAGGCTGTCTATGTTGTTCCCGTAGGGTTTAGTTTTGAATATTAAAGTACTCTATATCCCATGGTTTAGTGTCCTCTGATTGTCATTATACTGAGCTGTTACCACTTTCTATCACGCAAACCTCGCTAAGCTTCTTGTGCTTACAAGAAAGTATACTGTTTTGGTGTTTGTAGTTGGGTTTAGTGTTTCTATGTTGTTCCTGTAGGGTTTAGTTTTGAATATTAAAGAACTCTATATGTCCTGCTTCTCTTATTATCTTTGCTGCCATTGTACTGCCCTGTAATGTTTACTGTAGGGTTTAGTGTTTCTTGTAAGCTTCTTGTGCTTACAAGAAAGTATACTGTTTTGGTGTTTGTAGTTGGGTTTAGTGTTTCTATGTTGTTCCTGTAGGGTTTAGTTTTGAATATTAAAGAACTCTATATGTCCTGCTTCTTTTGGTTTACTGATTATTGTTCTTTTTCCTGCCCATTGTTCTCCACCATTGTTGCCCTTTTAAGTAGCTTTATAGCCTTCTCTCCATTACTGTATACCATTTCTTATTGTATTTGTATAAAGTACTCTTAACCACCTCTGCTTTTCCATACCTTGTAGAAGACCTGCCTGAAAGGATTTTTCAAGTCGATCGGTACCCTGGCCATGTGGTGCGTATCAACTCATACTCTAAGCCTCAATACCTAATTGACATACTTACTGCATTGGAAGGGACACCTGAGCTGCAGAAGCTATTGTCGTCCCCGCTTGGGTCTTTATTCTCCTTGCCGGTGAGGCAAAGTTCTGTATCTGGCCAATTGGTGCACCAGATGTTATGTAGACAGCTTCATACCACCAATGTAGACGAAACTTGGTTTGTCTATGGGGGTCAGCCTTTGCGTTTCTCTCTTACAGAATTTCACCAAGTTACTGGTTTGTGTTGTTCTCCTCTGCCGCCTGTCGAACAACTTGCTGCAGCAACAACGCATGAGAATGGTAGTGCTCCTTATTGGTATCAACTAATTGGTCCGACGCTTGGTGCTGCTACGGTTAAGGAAATTGTTAGTTGGTTAAAGGCTGAACCAAATATGCCTATCTGGCGTAGGTTTAGACTTGCTCTTATTGTTATTGTTGAAGGAATACTCTTGTGCAAGACCCAACCTGTTAAACCTTCGGTTGAAGTTGTAGAGATGGTGAAGAATGTTGACTTCTTCTTAAATTATCCCTGGGGCCGCCACTCTTTCCAAAGGCTTCTGCGTATGGTCAAAGTTGGGGAAAAAATAGAGACGAAGGCCGACCTTATAAACAAGCTAAAGCAATCAACCATGGCTGTTCATGGTTTCCCTCTTGCTATCCAGCTCTTTACCTTTCGATCCATCCCGTTGCTCCTTCAATACCTCCCTCATTCTGAAGATGACTCAACTTTCCTTCACAAAACCTTAACGCGCCTTCCCAAATGCAAGTCATTCCATACCTCCAACATATTAGCTGTTGAAAATGATCCATCTGTAAGTTTTGCTTCTTTTAAGTTTTGCATCCTTTTTGTGTACTACTTTACTGTTGGTGTAATCTCTTTTTCCCATGTGAACAGATGGTGGTTTTGTACCCACACCCGGATGGCCCTCCATTTGGTTCTTCAGAATCAGAAGATGATAAAGTCGGAAACCTTGAAAGGCTTATTTTTGCTGGTTTTCCATTTACCAAAGCCTTTTGGTGTAGTGGTGATGGGTCCTTACCGTCATTGTACACTTCCCGCAGGCGGAAAGAAATAACTGCAACTAGTACCACCTCTGATTCTGACTCTTCCGAAATGCAACGACAGAGGAAATCTTCAAAGCCCAAGTTTATCAATACTGCAGAGGATGTTACCACTCTTCTGGATAAAAAACTTAAAGGTTTTAAAGCATCTTTGCTCGCTGACCTTCGTGGAATGATGCGAGCAAATGAATCTCCACCTGCTGTTCAGTCACCGACAGGCAAAAGCCCTTCTCATGTTTCTGAAGCTCGGTCTTCGGAACCATCACGTGTGACCCGTTCTGGCCGTGTTGGTCAGTATGTCCGTGTTCCAACAGCCCCTGGTCACAGCCTTAGTCAACGTGATGGTACAAGATCAGATACAATCGAACCTGAAGGTTCCACATCGGCCACCTGTAACGCAAAAAAAAATTCCCATCCTCCATCTTCTCGTCCTACATCTCCAACCGCCGTACCTCAGTTTTCTTCGCAGGTCCTTATTTTTACCCTACCCTTATAATCTTTCTCATTCTATGTGGTATAATCCTCTGCTGTACCAGCCTCCTTCTCCATCCTCCACTGCTCGGGAGCAACCACTAGAGCCACCTGCTGTCTCCACGGTAAAACAACAGTTCCGTTTCGCTCAGAAAAGAACCCCTGCCAAGGTACTGTTAACAGGAGCACCTCTCATATAGCCCCATCATATCCTTGTATCCTCGTTTGCCTATTTACGCTTGTTCTTTTTTCCCCTATCTGCAGGCGTTCTCGCTACTTGCTGAAGCTACCCACTCGTCCGCTGATAGGCACTGCTCCATGGTGGTAAATGAGCTACCCCCTTCTGTCCCTCCCGTCAGCGATCACCTTAAGAAGCTCTCTTCGCCATCAGTATCGTTGACCACTGCCGGGGTACGCTGGCTAACTTATTATTCTTCTTTATTTCTCTATTCTCAGTCTTAGTGTCAGA